TGCAACCCCTGCAGTCAAAGATTGGTCAGAGATCAACCACATTTCACTGCCATACCAACAAGCTAAAAAAGTCACTTCATAACTGGAGACGTCTAAGACAAAAAGCACCATCATTCTCTGAATCCCAGGTATGTTTTCTCCCCAGCTGGCCGACAATTTAAAAAGTTTGTCCACAACTTTGAGGACAGTCAATTAACAGTCATGCATACAGCACTTGTTGCCACTCAACACTGCCTGGAGTTCAACCCTCTTTTCCTAGTATATTTGTTTTCCCTATTTTATACCTTCTTCTCTCTTCAAATTCCTTCCACTTCACCTCTCCCCTCTCTGACTCTCCAATGATCATCTTGTCTCTTATTCATTGAGAAAAAGCAAATCCGAAAAGAAACCCTCATTTCCCCATCCCCAAATTTCTAACCGGCTTCCATTTGTCTCTAGCTTCTAGGCCATCACTATGCACCTGTATCTACCTTATATGCTGTCACTATGGGTGAAGCATCCCTCCTACTAATGGCCAACCCCTCCACTTCCTTCCACTTGTGCACTGGATGATCTCTTCTCCTTACCTTGCCCTTGGAAACCTCGCCCTCTTTCCTAGATCACCAATTTCTCTCTTTACATACAAGTATACCTTAGTATTCTCATCTTTAAAATGTCCTCCACTGACCACACAGCCCGATCCCATTTGTGCCCTAGCCGCTATAGTCTCCATTTCTTCACCTTACATTCACTCCTCAAACCATTCTAGATGTTCTTTGGACCTCATTCCTCCCCGGAGACTGCTCCTGTCAAGGCTACCAGTAACCTTCATATTGCTAAATCTAACAGTCTTGTGGCTTTTGTGTTACCATGTTCTCCAGCCACACGGTTCCTCTTCCTCCTCTACATGACCTGTAAATGAAGGGTCTAAGACAGTGGTTCTCAACCTTGGCTGCACATTAGAATCACCTGGGAATCTTTCTAAAATCCTGATTTCTGGGCCTCATCCTCCGGAAATTGTTTGTTATGGGGTGGGGCCACAACATTAATCACAAAGAAACAGAATTTCCGGAAGATGAGGCCAGAAATCAGGATTTTAAAAAGATTCCCAGGTGATTCTAACGTGCAGCCAAGGTTGAGAACCACTGGTCTGAAAGAAACACTAACTGGGAAGTTCTATCTTCATTCACCCCGGGTTTTCCGAGGTGGTTTGGCTATTCCACTCCAAAAAAGCACGGCTCTGCCTTTCCGAAAACCTGGTTTGGATTTTATTTTATTTGTCCTTGTCCGTAGTGTGCCAGATCTCTCGCATTTTCTCCCCGTCCCCCTCCTCCTCCCAACCTCTACCCGCCCAGCTTTCGATTTTCCACAGCGGCGTCCCCTGCGGCGCCAGGTCGCTGACGCGCGAGCGCACGCGCGCACGCGCACACGCATACGAACTCGCACGTGCACCCGCACGCTCCAGCGCATGCGCACTTGGCGGGTAGGCGGGTGGGCGGGACCGGCGAGGCGGCGCGGTTGTGCGGAGCGTCTGGGCGCCATGTCCGCCGGGGCAGTGGTGGTGCTGCTGTCCTGTCTGAGCTGCTGCGGCTCGGCTCTGTGGAGGTAGAGACGCCAGTGGAGGACGGGGCTCCCGGGGCCTCGCAGGGGTCCCCCTCCCAGCGCCTCAGAGTCCGCGGCCACCGTCCGGGCCCTCAGCTCCCCGCCCCCCCGCCCTCCCCTGGGTACCAGCGCCCCACCGCCCCTGCCGGCCGTTTCCATTGACTCGAGGCGCGAGACGAGGGGGCGCTGTTGGGACTTGGCTGCCGTGGAGTCGCGGTAACTTACTGTCGCTGAGCCCCCAGGAATCCGGAGACGCTGCTTTTGCCCGAGAGGAGAGGAGCAAAAATTCAAAAATTGCCACAGAGATTGGGGATGGGGGCGGGGAATTCACACAGCGGTTCTCAACCTTCTGGCCCTTTAAATACAGTTCCTCAGGTTGTGACCCAACCGTAACATTATTTTCGTTGCTACTTCATCACTGTCATGTTGCTACTGTTATGAATCGTCATGTAAATATCTGACATGCAGGATGGTCTTAGGCGACCCCTCTGAAAGGGTCGTTCGGCCGCCAAAGGGGTCGCGACCCACAGGTTGAGAACCACTGCACTAGGATAACTGGGTCTAGAAAGGTTTTCACCGCAGGTTAAAATTCGGGGGGTTAACCAGAAAGAAGCACGCCCTGCGAATGTTCTGTTCCATGGAGGTTTTGCTCTGACAGTAATTCCTGCTCTCCCACGTTCCCAGCGTAAGAGCACCAGCGAGCAGCCAAACCATCACGGAGGTGTCGATGGGGGACCCAGGCATCTCACTGGGGGGCGGGGGAGGGGGGGTTGAGGGGGGCAAATAATAGGAGAGGCCATTGAGGGGGGCAAATAATACGAGAGGCCATTGCAGAGGTCAGTGAAGTCATGAGAAAGCGAAAAGGGGGCATTCTATTCTAACACGTGTGTGAGCCTTCGTTTTCTTCTCTATGAAAAGGTGAGAAAAACCCATCTCCTGGGGTGGGTGCAAAAGCCGTGGTACAGACCCGCGGTGGAATATTACTCGGCCATGAAAAGGGAATCTTACCATTTACAACAGCGGGGATGGACCTGGAACAAGCATGTCAAACTCGAAGGCTGACGCCGGCCGAGTAAACAAGGTGTGAGTGGCTGTGGCCGCAAAAACACAACAGCTTCCATTTTCATAGAAAGGTGGGTTTATTTCGATAGAGACATGCGGAATACAAAGGGCCGAAATAAGTGAGTCATCGTTAACAAAATAAGACATTTTAAAAATTATTTTTTCTTGAACGTTAACTTACCAGACACTGAGTAACGGCATAAACTAATGAGCCCAACGCAAATAAACCTGTTTTTGTTGTTCTCCAAAAGCGAAATATTTCCTGTTGCACACATCAGACAGGTCAGTCCAAGACTAATGAGGTGGCCATCGGCTGCTAACATATTCGCTGCTGGTATTAGTGGAGAGAAATGGTGCACCTGCGCATAAGGCGCGTAAAGGAAGTGAATGTAACAGGACTTCAGTCAGCAGTCATTAGCGAACATTGTAGTTCATCCTTAATAATGATGTATAACAGGATATTGTAAAAAGTTAAGAAATTTTTATTAAAATGTTTCTTGCCATTATATTGAGTGGGCCGCAAAAATATTCATTGTGGTCCGCAGGCCGCGAGTTTGACATGCTTGACCTAGAGGGTATTCTGCAAAGTGAAATAAGTCAGCCAGAAAAAGACAAATACCATATGATTTCTTTATAAAAATATACATATATTCTTATTGATTTCAGAGAAGAAGGGAGAGGGAGAGAGAGAAACATCAATAATGAGAGAGAATCATTGATCGGCTGCCTCCTGCATGCCCCCAGCTGGGGATGGAGCCCGCAACCTGGGCATGTGCCCTTGACTAGAATCGAACCCAGGACCCTTCAGTCTGCAGGCCGATGCTCTATCCACTGAACCACACTGGCTAGGGCCAAATACCATATGATTCCACTTACATGTGGAATCTAAAGAAAATAAATGAACAAACAAAAATTGAAACAGACTCATAGATACAGAGAGCAGACTGGTGGTTACCTGAGGGGAGAGAGATTGGGGTCTGGGGGAAAGAGGTGAAGGGATTAAGAAGTACAGAATGGCAGTCACAAAGTAGCCATGGGGATGTAGAGTACAGCATAGGG